GCAGTGAGCGCCCTTAACCACTGAGCAATCTTTTCAGCCCCAGAGTCCTTTTGACCTCACGTGTATTTTCACTTTTCATTTGCGGTCTTACTCTTGTTTCTTCATCTTGGTGCCTGTTGCAACTCTGTCTATATTGACCAGTGGCTTTCATTTTGAGCCAAGGTCGATCATGTGATTTGAGGCCACTCCAAGTAAACATTTTACCTGATTTACCATGAGAGGAAATCTGGCCCCAAACTCATTCTGATAGGTCAACTAGAAAGCAAAGAAACTAGAGATTTAAGACACTCTTTAGGGCCAGGTGGTGGTGGCACACGCCTTTAATCCCAGCACTCGGGAGGCAGAGGTAGGTGGATCTCTGTGAGTTTGAGGCCAGCCTGGTCTCCAAAGCAAGTTCCAGGAAAGGCACAAAGCTACACAGAGAAACCCTGTCTCTAAAAATAAAACAAAACAAAACAAAAAAAAAAAGGAGACTCTTTAGTGCCTGGCGTGGTGTCTCAGTGGTTAAGAACACTTGCTGTGCTTCCTGAGGACCTGGGTTTGGTTCCCAGCACCTACATGCCAGCTCACAACCATCTGTCACTCCAGTTTCAGGGGATCCAAGACCCTCTTCCAGCCTCCTCTCAGGCACTGCAGGCAAAACACTCATACACACCAAATAAAAATAAATACATCTTGTTTAAAAAAGACTTCAAAATTGAACATGGTGGCACTTTTAATCTTGGCACTTAAGAGGCAGAAGCAGGAGAATCTCTCTGAGTTCAAGGCTAGCCTTGGCTACATAACGAGTTCCAGGCCAACCGGAGCTATGTAGTAGTGAGACCTGTCTAAAAAAGAAAGAAAAAAAAAAAAAGAAAGGGAAGAGTGTCTTCAAGAAGGAAGGATAAAGTGCTTAAGGAGAGCCAGTCTGGAGTAGGTGTCTCCACAGGGGCTTGGTGGGCAGCGGACCCCTCTGAAGCCACCCACTTCCTCGCAGCCCAGAGCATTTGTTTGCGGCCTCCTAACTGCCCTCGCGTGTCTCTGTGTATGCACACTTCCTGTGAACATTTTCACACAGCCTTCTGACTATAAGCTGACATTGTCTAAAACTCCATCAATCCACTTATTAATTACAGCAAACTAGTTTCAGTTGTGGGAAATTAGAAGCTAATTTTTCAATAAACCTTGTCTCCGAGGACAGTTCACAAAATCGAAGGAGAAAATACCTGGCCAATCTAATTTATTATCACAATCAAATAATGCTAACTGGCTATCTGTGGGATAAGCTTAAGCTAGGGGATGCTGGTAGCAGCGCTCATTATTGCTGATTATTTACTGATTGGCCAGTTTTAAATTGTCTCCAGTTTTGAGGTTACAGGTCAGACTGAGAGTCACAGCATCCTTCCTTAATTCACTCTGCCCTGAAACAAAACATATGGCATTGTCAGCCACGTGGGGCAGGTTGGCCCTTTTCTCTGGGTCTTGCAGTCCTTGTTTATGAGTGGAGAAAGTAATCCTGGTTTTTTTTGAACTGCAGCAAGGATTAAATCACATAACCCATTTGAATGCACTACCAATTAATAAAAGCCAAGATGTACTGACCACTTAACATATACTGGGACCATAAGTGAGTTCCTTGAGCTAGGTCACAGTTATTATTTAATTTTCATAAGGCCCTGTGGAGCAAGGTTTTTGCTACCATTTTACAAATAAGATTGAGGCATCATCAGAACCTTTAATAATTTAATTGAAATTCTCAATATGAATAAGCAGTACAACCACTTTCGAATTCCGCTATCTGTCTTGTTATTGTTGGTACTATTTGGGGATATTCTGAAAAGTTTAGGAGGAAGTAGCTCAATTAGTCTGGCTCCTTGGAGTGAGGGGTATGTTGCTTCTAGCCCCTTCCTGTCTCCCTTTCTCTGCTTCCAGGTAAAGAATCTCTTCTACCACACACTTGCGCTACCCCGGTGTTCTACCCGATAGAAGAGGACCAAGCAACCATGGACCGAAGCCTCTGAAACCGTGGACCCAATAAGTTTTTCAGATTGTTTCTGTCAGGTATTTGGTTACAAAGACAAGAAGGCCAATCTGGGCTGGAGAAGTAGCTCGGCAGTTAAGAGTGCATGTTTCCACACTGCCTGGCTCACTGTTTTAGGCACACTGGGTGCTCTGGAACCATAAATACAGCCAGCCGCGGGAGTCCTAGACAGATCTGTGAGCTCTGTTACAGGCACATGGTAATTCTTCACCTGTGTATCATCTGTCCTTCACAGTCGACAGCATCCGGGTTTACCCTAACAGGAAGTGTGTGTGTGTGTGTGTGTGTGTGTGTGTGTGTGTGTGTGTGTGTGTGTGTGTGTGTACTTATGTGGAAGTGAGACTGAAGGAAGGATGGGGTAAAAAAAAAAAAAAGATCAGATCAGGATTTTGCTGCTAGCATCAGCCGCCCAGAGTCTGAGGATGCGATCCTCACACAGCCTTTGTTGAGAAGCACTTTTTCTAACAAGCATGCTGTCAGGGATAGACTAAACTCCGCTCGGCTAGCCCTGGTCTGAGAAATGAGGCCTGGACACACTCTTTTTGGGAAATACCGGTAGGTAACAAAGAAACCAAGTCGGAACAGTTGGTAAGTTAATATCTGAAATGCAATTCAGATGAAGTCATATGGAGACCCTGCCAATTTTCAATTGCTTCCAGCATCTTAAACACCACACGCCAAACCCTTCCATCTACCTCGCTCACCATGCACCTCCACCTCCCAGCTGCTGTGCCCCAAACCTCTCCCTCTCCCTGAGCACCCTGCCCCATTGGCTCGGTCCCCAGGACCCCAGACCCAGCTTTCCTGCCCGTGATGGACAGCCGCAGCGTCCACCTTCCCTCCCTGTTGCCTAGAGAGGTTAAACCTCCTCATGGTTGAGCCTTTCTCAGGTGCTTTTCTTGTTCTAAGCACTGTGATCTCCTGCTGAGAGATGGCAGTGGGTCCCCATTGTCTCTTGGCTTACAGACTCCTTTACCCGCAGTTCAAGAGGCTTTTATTGGACTTCACTGAGCAATTTGGGCTCTGTCCTCCCTGTGCCTCCCATAGTCCCCGTCACCCTCTGCCTTCTCACCCACGAGTGTTCCTGTTTCCTCCCTCCTGGTCCCTGAAGATTTCTGCTCCCTTCTCCTGGAGCCTGTCTGTCCCGGAAGTCTTTCCAGTCTTATATGACCTTTGCTAGGCAAACCCAAAGAAATGCAACCAAGGGCCAAGGGGGTCCTTTCATTTCTTTCTCGGAAGAGATGCATGGTCTAGACATTATAGCGGCTGTCAGGACACACCAGGGGTGTCCTCATTGCTTGCTCTCCTCTCATGCCTGTTACATCAACAGGTTGTGGACTAGCTCTAAGCTTCGCCATCTTAGGGCCAGGTCTGCCTCAGCCGTATTTGTTTGTTTAGCAGCCTGGGCTGGCTGCTTTTGAAGAAGGCCCCCTTGGAGACTCTTGTCTGGCTGTGAAAGGAGGGTCCGAAGTGGGTGGGGGAGATAAAGGGGAAAGGGGGAGGGGAGGACCCATCGTGTCCACGTGCCAGATGTCTTTCCTTTTGACCCCTTTAGATTTACCTATGATTTTTTTAAGTGTGTCAATATGTGTGTGTGTGTGTGCACAGGTATTCATGTGTGTAAATGTGGGTGTGCACATACCACAGTGCAAGCGTGGAGGTCAGAGGCAACCTTGGGTGTTGACCCTCCCTACCCATCTTGAGACAAGGTCTCCTGTTCATCCTCTCTTCCCCATCCCTAGGCCCCACATGTGCCAGGCTAGTTGATCTAAAAGCTTTCAGGGATTTTCCTGTGTCCCTACCCTCCCTCCTCCCCTTCCCCCTTCCCCCATCTCATCATAGAGATGCACTAGGACTACAGATGCATGCTACCATAATAGCTCTATGTGGCTTCTGGGATTTGAACTCAGGTCTTCATGCTCACTGGGCAAGTGCTATATCTGCTGAGTCATTTTTTCAACCCCAATACATGCAATATATGTGCTGCTCTTCAAGTACCTTGAAAAAAGTGACTAATTACTTTCCTCCTAAAGAGGGCCGTGGCGAGTCCGAGCAGAAGATTTTGGACTCATCCAATAGAGAATGGATGATATTTGTATTTGGAAAACTACACTCAGCTATTGCTCACCTGTGAGAGAGTAGAATGGCCTTTACCATCGGCCTGTTAGTAACTAACAAAAGCACCTCGTTCCTTTCCGTACTGTGTAGACTCTAGGGTGCTCTTAGTCTGGGATCCAGCACACTTAACTGCATTAAATACAAAAGCAATTGCTTATCCCAGAAGTCTGTCAGCCCTGTCCTGAGTGGAGGGTACTCTTCCTCACCAGGATCTTTATCCCAGAAAACCTTTGACAAATGCTTCATTTCAGAGGGACTCTGAATCAGATCTCTCCCCTATCCAGAAATTCCTGTAAAATATAGACCTTTTAGTTGGCTAACCACCCCTTTGGAACTTTGTGATATCTTTTTCCTTGACACATATTCAATCCAGGGTTTCCAGATTTTACCAGAGAACTGCAAACATTTTGGGACCACTAGGCCATGGCCATTTGCTGCCGTACGATTTCATCTTAGGGAGGAAAGGACGGAGTAGCCGACAATTCTTGCAGAGTAGAGCCATTTTGGATAATTACAGCATCACAAGTAGACTCCGATTATGTAGAAAAGAAGCAATGACATCCAACATCCAGAAGTAGCTCCTCAAGCTTCTTCGGACCTCATCAGTCAGCTAACTTTCTGTGACTACCACTATGTTTTTAGCAGTCAGCCAGAGGGTGGTGACAATGGGAAAATATGAAAATTAATAAAACCAGGTTTTATTACCTCATTCAAAAGACGTTAGAGGTAATTCTTGTGACAAGTGATAGTTACGTTTGGTAACTTGCTGTAAACATTGAATTCGGTGAGGACTGAGTAATTATTCCAAGCGAGAAATGTCAGGTTATGTTTCTTCAAGTTTCTTCTCACAGTTTTACCAGTTGATCATTATATTTGTGATTATTAGCTTTCATTGTCAACTTTATACAACCTAGAATTGCCTGGGAAGAGAATCTCGAAGAGGGTTGTTTGCATTGGATTGTCCTGTGGACAGGTCTGTGGGAGGGGATTGTTATCATTAAGTTGATTGATGTGGGAATACCCAGCCCACTGTGGGTGGTACAATTCCCTAGACGAGGGATCCTGAACTGTAGAAGAGTGGAGAAATCAAGTTGGGCACAAGCAAGAAAGTAACCGAGCATGTATGCATTCATATAACTCTGCTCTTGATTTTAGATCTGATGTGACCAGCCAACTCAAGCTCTTGCAGTTATGATGTCAATGCAGTGATGGACTACAGCCTAAACTGTGAGCTGAAAGAAACTCTTTTCTACGAAAGTACTTGTTGTCAAGGTGTTTTACCACAGCATCAGAAATGACACCAGGACACATCCTCATTGTTATGTTTCCATATATACGCAAATTAATTCATATATGCTATCAATTTGTTAACTTTGAGCTCATGGCCAACAGTACTTTAACTCACCTGGCTGAGTTGAAACTGAGTCAAGAACAGCTTTAGGGAAGTTGTGGCGCTTGAGTGGAGTTTGGAAAAGTAGCTTCAGCGAATGGCGAGCACACTATTCCCATAATACTCGCTAGAATCCGGGTGTGTGCCAAGGGCTCCAGAATACAGGTTTGTGTCATACTTATTGGCCTGACCACTTGCTGAGCACTGGGACAGAAGCTTCACCTAAGGCCACCTGGGAAGAAGAAACCTCACTTGAATGCCTCCATCACATTGGCGTGTAGGCAAGTCGGCAAGGGGCATTTTCTTGATTAATGATTGATGTGGGGGGGCCCAGCCCACTGTGGGTGGTGCCACTCCTACCCAGGCAGACAGTCCTGGGTTGTACAACAAAGGAGGGGGAGTAAGCCCTGAGGAGAAAACGGTAAGTAGCGTTTGTTTCCCCCTGGTCTCTGATCCTGTTCCTGCCTCCAGGTTCCTGTTCTGGCTTCTCTCAATGATGGACAATAATGCACACTCATCGTAAACCAAAAAAAACAAAAACAAAAACAAAAACAAAAACAAAAACCCTTTCTTCTCCAAGTTGCCTTGGTCATGGTGTTTTATCACAGCAGTGGAAAGCAAGGTAATATAGCAGTGGCAGTTGTGAGGATCAATAACTTATCCAATGTTGCATGGCAAAGAACAAAAAAAAAAAGCCGGGCAATGGTGGCGCACGCCTTTAATCCCAGCACTCGGGAGGCAGAGCCAGGCAGCTCTCTGTGAGTTCGAGGCCAGCCTGGGCTACCAAGTGAGTTCCAGGAAAGGCGCAGAACTACACAGAGAAACCCTGTCTCGAAAAACCAAAAAAAAAAAAAGGTTCTGAACTTGGTCTCTGACCCCCAAACTGCCATTTAGTTTAATTTAATTAATTTGAACCAGTTCATAGTTCTCTATTTCATATGAAATCCACGCTGCCTGACTTACCCATGGAGCCAGAGTGAATCATCTCACTACTGATGGAAACAGGTTAGCAGACAACCGTTTCATATCAGACACGGAGCGGGTGGCCGGAGATGGAGGGCATGCCTCTGTCCCTTGTGTTTGACTAGCCCTCTGCTTTCCCGTGTGTTGTTATGTCACAGGTCCTTGTAACATCCCCAAAAACTCCTCCCTGGAATTTTACTCACAGGACACTCATTTTGAGGGAGGGTGAGTGAGAGATCCCCGAGAGACAGGCAGGTGGCCAATCAAGGCAGAAATGGGAACTTAGACCGCAAACCTCCAGCCCAGTGTGCTCTGCCCTTGGCCTTCCAGCCATCCTCCAGGACCATTTGCAGGCAAAGCCAGTAGCCACTCTATCCACAGTTTCACTTTCTGTGGTTTCAGTTACCCACAGCCAGCCACAGCTAAAAAAAAAAAAAAAAAATTTTTTTTTTAAACGGGAAGTTCCAGAAACAAACAATCTGTAAGTCTTAAGTGGCAGGCCATTTTGCATAGCATGCTAAAATCTCTAGACATGAGTGTCTTCCCTTGGTTCAGACTGTCCACACTGTCCACACCACCCACCTGCTAGCCACTCGGGAGCCGTCTTCGTTATCAAGTCAACTGTCATAGTCACACAGTCCTCAGGGAGGCCTGTCGTAGTAGCTTACTGCCACAGCGTGGTACTTACGTCATTTAGCTCACATCTCTTCACATAGCCATTGTATCATCTCCCATCACAGGAGAAAGGATGGATGTGTCTCGTTAAGGTATTTGGAGAGTGAGGAAAAAGTACATTCATATAAATGTAACTTTTAATTATGGCATTTGTTCCCCTTGTTGTACCTGTGATTAATTAATATTTTTTCCTGGGCCTAATCTATAAATCACTGTTTCCGTAGTTGTAGATACAATCCTGAACAGCATAGCTGAGATTTGGTGCCTTCTGCTGGGTCTACACCCACAGAGAAACTTACACTATGTGCGTGTGTGTTTGCTTGTGCATATGCACATCTGTGCAGAGGGAACTGTCTGTCCCAATCTATTGCTCTCTGACCTGGTTCTCTTGAGACAGGCTCATCACTGAACCTGGGACTATGTGGACATCCTCCTATCTCCATGCCGCCGCCATGGTACCGGAGCCACAGGCATGTGCAGCTGCGTTAGTTTTCACTAATGCTGGGGATTTGAACTCGGGTCCTCCTGCTCATGCTCTTACCCGCTGAACCATCTCTCCAACCCGACTTTCATCCTTTGAAACTTGAGTGTACAGGCGTGCACTGGCTCCTGCCGCTCCAAGCCTCCCCCAGACACAGTTCCTGTGCCTGGGTTTGCTTTAGCAAATGGGTACTCCTCTTAATTCTGGTCCTTTAATGGCAGGGTGGGCACACAGAGGGTTTGGTAGTATAATTAATACTCTGAATGGCATACATGACAGGAATCTGCTGGCCGTTCAGGCTCCATTTGTGGGCTAATTCAGCTGAGGGGATTTTTCCAGCATCTCAGAACAGGTTAATTAAGCGAAGTTGCTGGAGGGGGCTCCCTTGGTATGGGGAAGGGGGGGGAGGAAATCATAGCAGCATCCGAAGGCTCCAGCACTGACTGGCACCCTTACCCAGCACTGGAAGGCTCTTTGGATCTGAAAAAGGGAGCTTTTCTTGCATCTTGCAGCCTTGGCTCTGACCACCTCCCTCTGTCTCACAGGCGGTGTGCTGAGGCCCTCACGGGCCCCTGTCCTGCAGCAGACGTGAAGGGACACGGGGCTCTTCCTCCTTCCAGCAACAGGAGAAGGAGTGTGAGCAAGGCCCCTCCTGGTCCATGAAGAGCTGGTCTACAGGGGAGGGAAAGACTAGAAGCTGGCTCTGTTTCCCAGAATTAATGGTCGGCTTCTGCCGAGGCTATTTGCACTGTAAACGAAATTAAACAAAAAGCAGAGATGAAACAAAACAACTGAAATGATCAAAAAGCATTCTGGCGGAGGGTGTGAAACACACTCTCCCGGCAATGCACGTCCAAGTGTGTGCACCTATTGGAAGATGACTGCTGAGCAGTACCCACGAGAGGTCCCTGGTCAGGGTGACAGCAGGAGCATGCATTTAAAGAGGAGCCTGCCATTCCTCGCATTAGGAATCGTCACACATCCTAGTAGTAGGTAGTGAGTTTTACACGTGATGGAGGGGCCTGAATTCAAAATTTTTCAAAAGGGGTCACTAAAACTCCAGCAATTTTATTCCATTAAGAAGGGGCAGTTCTTAGCATCTTTCTGTCACATCAAGCAGTTTTGTGGTAGTCTCTTTCTATGGAAAGCTTTGTCTAGTTTTCTATCTGCTGTGATAACCTCGGTTAGTCAAGCTGCCTGCCATCCTCCCATCTCGGGCTCTGACTTCTGTCAGCTCATCGACACTGGGTAAGGTCAGTTCTTGGGAAGATGTACCTGAGGGCCTCTGAAGGATGATGTCCTTGCTACTGGGTGAGCAGACTCTGAGATGATGAACTTCATATCCTAAAAGACCAAACAAAATCTACAAGCGTCTTCTCCCTTTTCTAAGACCCTCCCTGCCTACATGTGTTCATACTGAGTGCACCTAAGTTTCCACTCCATCGGCAGAATTGATCGTCGTTGTCTGCACTGAGACTTGGGTGTCTGTGGTCTTTCTTGAGCACATTGGTGTCCTTCTCAGCAACTCTGGAATCTTGTAAAACCAATTTGTCTGAAGCTGCTTCAGCCAGTCCTCTCTTCAAAGCTTCGTCTTTATTATTTTTCTCTAGTTTTAGAAATTTAAGGCTCAGCAGTGTTTTTAAATGATTTGAAGGAGCCAGCGAAAGGGATCAGTTGATAAAGGTATTTGAGGCCAAGCCTGAGGACCTGAGTTCAACTCCCAAAATTCACATGGTGAGAACTAATTCCCACAAGTCTTCTGACGCCCACCCTGCCCCCACGCACTTACACAGAAAGGCATATGCACACACAGAGGCATATGCACACACACACACACACACACACACACACGAATACCACATGCACATGTGCACACACAATAAATAAATACATTTAAAAATAGAAGAATGATGTGAAGATTTTATGCATGTGCTGGACTAGTTGATCAAATATTATTGTAGAGGGAATTAGAACCCCGGTCCTTGAGGTAGGAAAATAGAAGGTGGTCATAGACTTCCATTTTACAGTTAGTACAATGACAGGAAGTTTCTAAATGTGACTTTGAGGTGAAGCATATTATAATTTATCGCATCAGAGACATCGACAAAATGATGAACTTTAGTCCTGTCTACCTGGGATCCTCAACTGGTCAAATTCCCTACCCTGCTGGCCTGCCTAACCCCATCTCCTAACATATTCTATATTCAAGGCAGAGACAGTAGAGCCCAAGAAAGCGAACTTATCATAGCTGTGACCTGGGAAATGGGACCAGACTGATGAGTGCTCCCTTCCTGTCTCCTCATAAATAATAGTGACACAGCTAAGTCTTGTTGAGCAGTTGTTATGTGGCAGACACTGTGCTAAGTGGCTTACGTCACTGCCTCTGGCTAGCCTCATGGCAATCCCACGACTACGTCATCATTTCTATTGTCCTCTGTGCAGGTGAGTTTTAAGCAACTTGCTCAAAGACAAAGCTCCAGTCTGAACCCAGGTTGTACAGTCCCAGAACCCACACTCTGTCCTTCAGCATGACTCTCAACTACAGAAAGGAAGTTTCTAGTGACAGGGAAGAGCTGAGGTTCAGGAGGACTTGCCATCATCTGGCAAGACGGCTCAGCAGGTAAAGGAACTTGTTGCCAAGTCCTCAAGTTCAGTCCGTGGAGTCCATCTGGTACAAGGAAATAACAGACTCTCCTAGGTGCCTCTACGTGCATATGATGGTATGTGTGCACCTATCCACACAGATAGATAGATAGATAGATAGATAGATAGATAGATAGATAGATAGATAAATAGATAGATAGATGATAGATAGATAGATAGATAGGTAGGTAGGTAGGTAGGTAGATAGATAGATAGATAGATAGATAGATAGATAGATAGATAGATAGATAGATAGATAGATAAAGAGAGAGAAAGAAATGGAATAAGAAAGGAAAGAAAAGCATTCACTATATTCATTCATCTGGGCAGTCTGAGGTTTCCAGCTGACCTTTGACTTACTCAGAAGTTCAAGTGACTGAAGATGATATGGTCAAATAATTCAGATTTATTAGCACATATTCCTTTTATTATCTTTCTAGTGCCCCTTGAATCTTAAGTATCCAGCTGGCCATCAAGATTGCCCTGTCCTATGGGGTCTGGTTGTTCTTCTCACTTTTGTGACCCTTAAAATGTTGTTGTCGTTCCTTCCATAGTTGTCTAGAACATCTTGGTGCACCCTCACTTAGAGAATTGTTTCCTTCACATTAAAAAAAAAAAGATCCCTTTAAAAGCTTTTTCCACACTAAACCAAGAACCCCTCCCCAGAAGGCAGTACTGCCTTTTGTCTGGTTTTTGCTGTCGTTTTGACCCCTTTCTCTCTCTCTGCACCCCTCCAGCCTTCATTCAGCTTGCTTCTTTCCCCTTCCGCTCCTAAATGTTTAGCCAGCCCCCGAGGAAGGGAGCCCCCCACTTCTGGCTGTGCTCTAAGCTGCTGGTTCAGCATGGCCGCAAGCGAGGAAACAGTACACATCAAACATGCCGATGGGTTAGAACGAGCTCCTAAGATGGAGGAAAACTGTGCAGTCCCTGCATTTTCTGGGCGAGGGGAGGCCACCTCTGGGAGGTGGAGTGCTCCTGGTAAGGGAAGTCTTATGGCTTTCTATGGCTCGATTCCGTTGCCTTAGACACCAAGTTGAGCATCATGTGCCTGTGGGGGAGGCTGCTGCCCCTGCTGTTACTGCCCTGGCACAGCTATGACCCTTCTTTCTGTATCAGCATCAAGAGGATGTGGTCATCCCATGTGCCCAGCAAAGCCTTCCACCCCACTGAACGGAGCTCCACATTGCTCCTAAATCTCTGTTTCCCGTAGAAATGAAGGTTGATAGATAGGTAAAACTGTACGAACACATTGATGCATCCCTCATCCTGTTTTTGGTGCTGGCAGTGGAAGCCCTTGTTCTATGCTTCCATCCAGCTACATCTTCAGCACCGGTGAGATTTCTTTTATGTGGAGTTTCCTTTCACTGACTATATAGTTTCAAATGCTAATGTTAATGTAACTAATTCCTGGCAGATGATGGATTTTTTTTAAGCACAATTAAATTAAAGCAGATTTTCCTTTGGTAAACTATTTTTAGTAAAATGCATAGGATTAAAAAAAAAAACCTACCCAGTGCTAACAATATGCTCAATCTGGATGTGAAGGCATGCTGTTAACTAAGATCCTTGACACATTTTGTTAACATCATTTAAGCCATGTACTGGTGTATTAATCTGAGAACAATTTAACCTTGTATATAAATAAGTATGGCTGTCCTCTTGACAGATATACCAGTTGAAGATTTCAAACTTTTAAAAATGTGAACAGACATTAAATAGTGGATGCACTATTTAATTCATATAAAAACACCATGCAAGGGGTCATTACAGAACAGAAAAGAGGTGTCACGATGGAGCCTCTGAAACACCCAGGCTCAGAAGACACTGAGATGTCTGGTGTGCTCATCTCCTTCTTCTCCCTTGGGTGGGGAGCGGTGCCGATCAACGGTCCCTTCCTCTGGAATCTGCTCGGCCACCACATTGATCCTCTAGCCCTTTTATTCTTACCAGAAGAGATGGAGTCTTGATATGTTGGCTAGGGTGGCTTCTGAATCCCGGGCTCAAGCAGCAATCCTCCTACCTCTGCTTTCTCAGTAGCTGGGACCACAGGTTCAAAGTCATTTTTAAGTTACATGAACTGTAGGCCCACGCATTCCAAGGCAGTGTGACTGGGAGGGACTTCGCGTGCCTGACTGCATGCTTAGCAAAGAATAGCAAGAAGGTCCTTCCTTGAAAGTTGCCTATAAAATAGACTCTCTCTCTCTCTCTCTCTCTCTCTCTCCCTCCCTCCCTTCCTTCCTCCCTCCCTCCCTCCCTCTCCCTCTCTTCCACTGAAGAGAATTATGAGTGAGAAAATGCAACCCACTGAGAAGCAAGTCCTCACTGTAAAATGAAATGGTTGGCATTCCTGACTTGATTGATGATACTGGCGCCCTACCTTCTCCCTGCCAGAGCATCTTCGCCCCTGCCTAGGACCACAGAGCCATCTCCTCCAAGCTGCTCGCCAGATCCGTTATCCATTATCCATCCTCTCAACAGCTGTTTCTTGCTTGTACTCCACACACCACAAGGTTTTTTAATTTTATTTTAAGCCTTAAAAGAGAGATGTTTATACCATTTTCATGATTTCATTTTGGGACTAACTAGATGGCCGCTCTCGTTACTTTATTTGACACCATGAGTCTAAGCATCTGGATGTCTCGGGGTAGACATCTCAGTGAACTGGACAGGTAGAGATAGGTCACTGAGGCTGAGGAGGGCACAGCCCCCTCAGCCCTTCCCATAGTGTGAGCTCTGTGGTCAGCATCATGCTGGGGCCTTGCTAGAAAGTGGGATGCACAAAACACATGTCTGGAACCAGGTGGAATGCAGGCTGGTGTCTTCCTTCCCTTCCAGGACACTCTAAAAAGGGAACCAGTAGGTCCTTAAAGGAGAATGAACAGCAAAGAGTTCCATGTGCTTCCTGTTTCAAAAGACTGGACACCCTACCCAAAGGACCAGAGAGTCTCCATTGAACAGAGACAAAATGGAGAGCTCCCATGTCTGCACACATGTCCCTTCTAGGGAAAGAGAGTCTCACGGACTCTTAACTAGACCGTTTGTAAAAAGCACTCTGAGTTAAAAAGAATTCATTCCAAAGTTGATCCAAAGGACATGTATCTGGTTCTGATAACTCGTTTTCTGCCTGGTAACTGTGGGAGACACAGAAATGAACTTGCTGTTACATAGGCAGTCAGCAGACAGGGTTGAATTCCAAGTGGCTTGGTGACACACGTATATCTTTCTCAGCTGCTTGTGAGCTGAGGCAGGAGGGTCCCTTGAACACAGGAGTTTTTCTCTGAATTTTCCAAATGCAAATGTACTGGACATTATGAATGTAATTCTTACCTGATAATTGTTCTTATTGCTTATAGTTTTATTGTATTAGAGTTAAAACTTTCCTTTTTATTTAGACCCAAAGGGGGAAATGTTGTGGAATAATCTTTTTGTGCACTGGGTGAAGATGTGTCACTGTGGTTGGTTTAATAGAAAGCTAAATGGCCAATAATAACTAGACAGGAGGTATGGGGGGGTAACTTCTGGACAGAGAGAGCTCTGGGAAGAAGGAGTCCTCAGCAGAGGTGGAGGAAGCAGGATGGGCAGTGCAGAGTAAAGATAACTGAGCCATGTTAAAAAACAAAAACAAAAATAAAACACATAGATTAAAAATAGGGTTAATTTAAGTTATAAGTACTAGTTAGAAACAAGCCTAAGATAAGGCCAAGCTTTTATAATTAATAAGTCTCCATGTCATTTTTTGTGAGCTGGTGGCCCAAAGAAAAAGCCGGTTATACAGCTTGAGTGACATAAGGAGACCCTGTATCCAACATAAATCGATCAATAAATACATAAATACGCAAGTAAATGATAGCAAAAATGAATTGGGATTGGAAGGTGATGGCTTCCACATTCTCCACTTTGGTGATGTCGGATGAGCCCATGGGCAGCAATGTGTAGCCTAGGAAGCACAAGGAACACTGCGCGCAATCTTCAGCCTTGCACGTCTTTCCACAGATTCTGAGGTCATTTCAGCGTAGTTTGCTGCCGGATGCACGAGATGAGACCATTTCCCTCCATTTTCTTCTGACCTAGACGTCAAATGTGTAACCCAAACAGTATTTTGCTACTTTGGGAAATAATTTTTTAAAGTTGTCCTTGCAAACAAACAAAACCAAACACAAACCCCTTGAATCACCACAGGTATAATACATGTCGTGTAGGGATTGTGTCCCGAAGTGTCAAAAGCCAAATCCTCACCCCGCCTGGTCGACAAACTTTACAGCTGTCGAAAGGTTCAGAGCAATACAGACCATGGGAGCCAATAAGTTGATCTGGAGAGAGGAAAATGCTAATGAGCCTTTGATCTGTGCAGAGGCCGGTGAGCTAGAAGCACAGCCTCGCCTGCACCCCTCACCCCGCCAGCTGTCTCACGAATGCTTGCCATTGGTCACAGGGGGGACCAGGCAACCTGGGAGTGGAGATGGATCGGCTCAAATCCATCATCTCTCCGCATGCATCACTCAGGCGCTGGCCCTCATCATGACAAGCCAGCAGCATCCACCTCCTAGCAGAGATGCACACGTTGCAATGAAGTTTGTTATTTTTTTTTTTTTCAATTTTTGTGTTGGTTTTTAAAGGAGACTCTTTTTTTTTTTTTCTTGTCCTGCAAATAAACATAGATTGGTATTTAACTTCATGGCTTGGGGTCTTTGAAGGGCATATGTATGTATGAACACAGGTGGTGTTTATGGGATATTGTTGATAAAAAGGATAAGTATCAAGTTCAGGAGATACTTGCAGGTTCTAAGACCTGATGGTGCAGATGGGGGATGCCAGGCACACAAGGGCAGCATGGAGCAGCTGGGCTCCAGCGGGGGGTGGGGGTGGGGGGCTGGCACAGCCGCAGCAGCTGGACAAATGCAAGAGGTCAAGAAGTGTTTGTGGACCCTGACTTCTTCCTATTCAGCTCTGAACCGTGGGTGGGCGCCATCAAAGCCCTGCACCCAGGAAGGATGGCCAGGCCAGTGTCTGTGTATAACGCCCCCCACTCCCAACATGCTGTTCCAGGAGAACATTCCAGCTCCGCATCCAGGATGGAGCCACCTTCTTCTAGCATGAGCTATTTTTAGAAGTAGGTTTTGATGG